GTCTATGATAGGATGAGGATCGGGCCGAGAACTGAACCCTCGAAACGCCGCAAGTATCCAACGATGGCGCAGAAGAAGAGTACTTGCGTCGCATTTTCACCTGCCCTGAAATGCCTACATATTTCCTGTCTGTGGGTGACCTTTGGACGGACCCCGTGAACGCTGCGAAGCTGCTGGCCCGCTGGGGCGGCCGACTTCGCTGGATCCAGAACTGGGTCTAGGCCCCGCCTCGCGCTGCTAAGCGAGGCGGGAGGGTCAACAACAACAACAACAAGAGTACTTGCGTTGAACTTATTGGAATCTATTGCTGAGATAGGACTGGAACCACCGTAGCACAGAGCCGCGCAGACCGAATGATACGTCAAGTCGACGCAGTAAAGTGGCGTGGTCTACTGTGTCAAACGCGGCCGACAGGTCGAATAAAGCCAGTGCCGCAATGCTGCCGCGGTCTACTGCTTGCAGAATGGCTGAAAGCACCTTCAGCACAGCGGTTTCAGTCGAGTGGAGATGGCGATATGCAGACTGAAGGCATGAGACTGGACTGCTGAATATGGTTGTTCAGCTCAGGGGCCACAATCCGTTCCTATAGTTTCGACGAAATCGACAGGTTGGAGATGGATAGGTATGATTTGGGATCAGAAGTGCCAGGGTCAGGGGCTACAAATCTCCGAGATTAACGCATTTTTCAATATTCATATTTCGGAGCCGGAATCAATTTTTTGTCCAGGACTGTCGGATAACTGATCCTTAGAGTTATCGATCGCCTCAAACATACATGGAATTGATTCAAAGCAATGTAAAAAACATTTGTAAGCTATTCAAGAATGTTGGGAAATATTCATTCCGCCTGAGATGTAGCGATGACTCTCGATTTCCATCAAATTGCAGAAACATTCATGTTTCAATGCAAACATTCATGTCTCAATGCAATGCAGAAACAAATGGTATTCGATGTACAAATATGGCTTCTGTTCAACCACTCTCTTTCCCTTCATTCCAGTTCTCATTTCATCCTTAGGTCTTTACGTCTTCTCTCTAACATTTCTTTGTCCCTAAATGCATGTTCGTGAAATTTACTTCAAGTTACTGACAGTGATGTGTCTCTCGAAACTAAATACATTGCATCGCTGTCACTTAGATATAGCTATTGCTATTGGTTTCTTGGGTCTTTTGTGTTTACTTTTCTTGTATGTATTTACTTAATAAATTTTTAAATTACTTTATGATTAGAATGCGCGTTCAACATGGGAAGATTTGGGCGACAGACAACCCAACATTTTATCCACAACAAAAGGGCCAATCAAAACAACAATCATGCGCCTAATATATTGTAAATTATTTCGTCCAAGCTGTGTAAAAGTTCCAAGTTCCCATTTTGAAGTGTTCAGAAAATTTTGAACCTGCCAGGAGAAGAAAAAACCGGTACAGAGGTTTAAAAGACAACAACAAGTCGCTAATTTTGAAGTGCAACGAACACTAAGAACATTATGATTTTTGATTATATTCAAGTTTATAATGATTGGCAACACGCCTTTTTATTTGAACTTATATTCAAGCCATATGGCATTGAACCTCTCGAATTATAATAATTTAAAGTGCATCAAATAGAAATTTCTTGACACAAAATATACTGGTACAAAGCGAAATCTTCACTTCTTCAGAAGTATTTCAATTTCACTTTTGAATAGAACAATAATTGTTAATATGATTTTATGTAGGATTTTATTGAATTTATTGTTTCACAAATTACAATGAACTTCGGATTAGACAATTTTTACAGCACGTGGATGCATTGACTGGATAAAGTGGTCCCCTAATTATTATTGTGCACCTGTTGTGAACACTTCAAAGCCGCCAATCAGATGAAGGCATGAGGGCCAGATTGTGCAGGTCACCCAGACTGGTACATCGCATTGATGATGCACCCGGCCTTCCCCAGGAACTGTTTGTGGTGGTTCATTTTATCAACAACAAAAAAAGTTCATGGCATGAAGTTCTGCTTCAGTTGTAGTGGATAGAAGTGAAAGAATGCGTAGAGTTTCAGCGATAACTTTACGCAACATTATTCAAAGAAATATGAGAGAGTTAGAATGATATGCGACACAGATTCGCAGGTAATCATATATCGTATTGCCATCAGAAAATGGGATTACCAGATCAAAAAAACTTGCTGGATGGTCTGAAATTTCGACACGTATTTTCACAAGAACTAAGAATGATTTGCATAAGTTTCCACATACTCGTAAATCATATTATCACTCGGCTTTCAAGTTAACATTTGACACAAATTCAATTCGAAATAATCTTAACTCGGAAAAACTTACCGCGTAGTTGCTGATGGTAGTGCCACAGACCCGCACACCGTTGTCGTACTGGTTTTTGCAGAGAGTACCGCGAGCGACGGCGTAACTCTTGTACTGGTCAAAGATCATTTGGTAGTGGATGGAGCCACCATAATTCAACTGCAAATAAATGAATGAGTGCTATATTCACATTTGCAAAGGTTGTAACTTCATAATATAATTTAATAACAAATGAAATTGTTAGAAATAGATATCTCTGATGGAACACTAACTACAGCGTTGGTAACATTATGAGCCGTCACGTTCAACACCACAAATAGTGTCAGCTAATATCCAAAAGGGCGTTCATGACAGATGATGAAAAGGCATCTAAGCAATATTTCCTGACTTACGTAACCAAGTTTTCCAGCTACACATTTCATGTAGGGAGCTGCAACTTCATCGCACTTGCCGCCATTGGCCTCGTTGAACTCGTAGTCCTTGCAGGTAGCTTGGGCTGCAGAACACGTAAATGGCTTCTTATTGTTTTAGAACCTCACGAATTTGTGATGGTTCCACTCACTATTTCAAGATACGTCTCTAGATAACACAAATAATTAAAAATACAAGGTCTACAACTGAGTTTTGGAAAAATATCAATTGGATGAATTGCCCACAGATAAGCGCAATGGTAGGAAATTTCAGATCAACCGATTGATGGTAATAAATCTTACGATATCTGACCTGCGAGGGCAGTCAAGGCTGCACTTCCCATACGATCCGACTTGCAGGCGTTCAAGGCATCTTTGAGGACTTGTTTCTCATATATGGCTTTCGCCACTGAAGATCCACAGTTTGAACTGCTGTAGAGAAATGAATACGAATAAGAACACCAGGCGAGAAACATCATAAGATAAACATTTCTCACTTGAGTCAGGAAAACAAGTAAAATCCATAGCTCTAAATGCAATGATTTAGCACCATTTTCAGCATTAATTTGTAATGGTTGTTTAAAATTAGAGCTCAAAGCAATATCAACCAATAATTTAGGATACAGGCGAACAGGAGTGGAGAGCACAGCGCAAGAATGCAACTGCTGAGTTCACTTACCCTTCAACACTGGAGTAGGCAAAGGTTGCTATGAGAAGAAGGACAAGACCGACAGATTTCATCATGTTGGTAGACGTAAAGGCGCGGCAAAAGGCTAAGGCAAAATGCGTCGTGAACAGAAGGCTGCTAGATGTCATGTGACTTGGTACGACACATGGTCTGCCTTTATAGCTTTATGATATTATTGAAACAGTTGCTTTTATTTGTCGATCGTGTGCTTACAGCTGTCTGTCAGAGATCATCCGTCACCACAGCTAGTGGCATCATAGCTCCACAATCAAATGTTGACATTTAGATTTAACTGTTTGTAAAGGAAATTTAAACTTTCTGGTTGAAAAAATTAAAAATATATAAAATGAAGTGGAAATATAAGCGACGATGACAGAATTATGTTTAAATTTCTAATTTTTTCCATGGAAAATTATATGCTAAAAGAGCCTCAATGTGCGTTAAAACAAAATTTTTTTCATCACACGTGGAAAAAATTCTCATCATCTGATGAGAAGACCATGTCCTCGGTGCTCAGCGTTGGTTCAGATGAAGTGGCAAAGCTCTAGAACAAATGCTCCATATTTGCAAAGACGTCAAGACTGATGATGTGAATGATGACTTTAGATCGCAAATGATCACAATATGAGCGTGTTCAGCTGAACTTGCACATCGACATGATTACTCTAAATTGTACGGTGTCAGTTGGTAGTGTCAGCATTAATCTTTATAATTCATGAGCTGCCTCATGCCTCGATTCTACATTACAATATACATTCTAGCATGTGTCATTCTGGGTTGCATGCTAGTTACAATCATTGCAATCCGTAGGCTGTCTCGATATTCCTTTTCACATTACAATATACATTCTATCTTACAAAACTCAGGGATGCACGGGATTAATGAGTGCCAAATCTGCAAGCGTATCAAAATGGGAGTTCGTATAGCGTAGCGGGCTGCGGATCGGACGAAAATTTTCCGTTTTTAACCCTTGCTATGCTTTTTCTTCGTATCTCCTTTTAACCACACGCACTGCCGACTGATAAGCACTTCCCCTTATTTTTAGTTTATTTCCTTCAAGCGGAGTCGTTATTGGATTTGAGATCACCAAGGAAAAAATCGTAACCCCCGCGCCGCGAGGTATCATCAGAACAAGTAAATTGCACATAATTGGGACCATCAGAGTTGGTGGAAAATACAAAGAATTTTTAATAACATCATGTTCAATGATAAGCTGACTTTGTTTATATTCTTATCTGTGTTCCGTTGTGTGATTACGCAAAGTTGCAAAAAATTGTTAATCATTGACCCTCTTCAAAAAAAACTGCCTGAATGGTGGCCCGCTAGTAAAAACTTTGCATTTGTACTGGTACTGCTGATGAAGTGAACCAGGAGTAAGTTCGCCAGTGGATGAGAATTTTGATGGAGTCGTTGGTGGTTAACTGCCAAGGATTACAAAAAATGGCAAGGCAAGTTTAATGTTAAATGTTGAGGCAGTTGAGTTAACCAAGACAATACAGCAAATGTGGCAGTGAGTTAGATTCGAATGGCGCTACTAATGACACAAAAGTCGCCACTCAGCAGCAACAACCGGCTCGTCCATAGAAACGTATAGGCCAGAGTTACAGTTTTTAGGGTCCTATTGCCTCATGAAAACAGAAGCTTTTCCGCTCGCGCTAGAAATTTAAGTTGTGACAACAAGATATTTCGAAACAGGAGTAAAACAGAAATTCTAACTTTTGTACAAAATGTTGGTTTTAAAGATTCTTTATTTGATTAAAATGCATAGGCTTTTTAAAAATCGAGATTAAGGATTAGAAGGAATGACAGGATTAGAATTCCAGAACTAAAAAAATTTCCAAGCCCGGGTAATGCCTTGATAACCTTCTAGTTTCCAATAAATGTCTTTTGACTTCAATTTTTGATAAATTTAGACAATTGACTTCAGTTTTTTGTAGCCTTAACCAGATTAAAAAAAAACATCAAGTATCAAGTTTTGCACTTCACATATTGCAAACCAGCGTTGAGACGGCAAAAAAAAAAGATTTTTGTCAGAAAATTGCTTTGTAGAGCGATGTCATTAAGATTCACAGGAATTTTATCGCTGAAGTCTGGCACCGTTGGAATCAGTTCAGTAATCGTCGCCCTATCCCATGGCCATATCTTTATTCATAAAAAATGTAATTAAGTTAAGTAAGGTTTATAATTCTTTTAACTTATTTTAATTTAATTCAGCCGACATAAATATGGGCCTAACTAAACGGCTATCGTGCATTCTTTTCGGTCATTAATTGCAACAAAAGATATACAAACAAATAGCAGAAAGAGAACTAACACTACTTAAGAAAATAGTTATCTCGAATAACGTCCACCCAAAATTCACGCTCCTTCTACATCCAGTGACTCTATGCCCACGTACTTCGAGTTCAACATGCTCGAAAATATTTATAACCTGATTTATTATTGTATCATAGGCATATGGTGTCAAATATTTAAAGCAGATAGTCGTTTCGAAGCAAAAGAACTTGTGATTTAAATAAAAATCATAGTAGGCAAATATAAAATTGATCATGCGTATTACAAGGCTCATAATTTATTCAGGCAAAAAGAAACAACAATAATTCCAATTTATACCGAGGTGCGACTCTTGAATGAGAAACTGTCACTTGATATCCCAGCAGGCAATGTCAGGTGGAATCAACGTTGAAACAACAAAACTCACGACGTTGAAATAACGTAGAATTTTAGTTTAGAATGAAAAGCAACGACATTTTTTGAATAGCAACGAAAAGCAACGACATAGAATGAAGCAACGACATTTTTCAATGTCTTTCATTTCGACGTTGTTTTAACGTTAAATTCGCGTTGAAATCTGATGGTAAGATCGCGAATATATGTATGCGATTTTAAAGTCAGAATTTTGCGCGATTTCAACGCTGAAACAACGTCGAAATGTACGACGTTGAAAAAATGATGCTGCTTCAATTTTCAGTCTAAACAAATATTCAACGCTACTTCAACGTCATGAGTTTTATTGTTTCGACGTTGATTCAACTCAACATTGCCTGAAAACCTACAACAAGTGTAACGGAGCCAAAGCAATACCTAGTTCCCTAACAAAATTTGGTGTATATGCTTCAGCCTCCGTTGCAGACTCGCCATAGTTGGGTTAGAGTTATTCTGAGTCTGCTTGGCCGCCCGATCGTAATCAGCGACTAGTTAGAATCACCTTGTTGACTTTATAGTCTCCGGAGAGAACGGCAAGAGTTTGCTTGGCCAGGCTTGCCGCTCCTGTAAGCTGCCCAGAGATTGCATTCAAGCCTCGAGCGGAATTAAGGCAGTGGGCAGAAGCCTCCCGGACGTTCATGGGCGAGCTTGTCAGTACCTGCAAAACTATATACATATTCATTGATTTAAATTTTCAAGGTTTAAAAATTATTCAGATGGCGTTGGTTGATCTAAATGCAGGTTTCAGGAAGAAATTTTAACTTAATTAATTCGACTGCTTTTGTCGAAAATGACAAAATTAATTTTCAAGTTATAGGACGCATTGAACACTGAACTTTTGATAGAAATGAGTGCGGTATATTATGAATTCCGGAGGAATTCATTCCGGGAGTTCAACCGCACGTCAATCAAAGAGGACTACATTGGTGTAATTACTACGACATTGAGCAGTCGTTTACCCTGCCACATGAGACAAGCTCGCGACCAGACCAGGTCTCAAAGTATTAAAATCGAGCATCTTCATCTCAAGATCCGCGATGAATTCAATGGGCTCCGTGACACCCTTGACAACAACGTCCAACTCAACGAGACCGACACTCCCACTGTGCCTAAGCAACCCAACAGTATCGTCTTCATAGACCGGCCCGACGTCATATGACCGAAGATAGGTGAAGCTCTCACTTCTGCATTGGACTCCAGCTATCCGTCTCATTACTAGCGGATTTCCTAAGCTTTGAGGTTGTTTCGAAGGTATTTTAACGCTTCCGAATTTTCGTGTTGTACCATATTTACATGTATCATGTACTTATTTCCACAAAAATTTCAGTATTCAATGCTTCCTATAACTTGAAATTGAATGTTGTGACACTCGAAACGTCGTTGTTAAATTAAAATTACTTCCTTAAACCTGCATTTATTTACTAATGTTGTTCATAAAATCATTTGATCATTTGATTTCTAGATTATCTTCAAAAATATCTCATGTGGTTCACTTGCCCTCCAGTTTGAAGGCAGCAAATGAGACAGGCGGCTCGGTGTCTTGGGGCCATACTTTCAAAATTCGCTAAGTGAACGTAAGTACTTACGCTCTCATATAAATAGCATTCAAGACCTGCACATCCGAGAGTGATTTGCAACCTGAACTCAGAACTTCTAAACAAAACCTAATAAGTAATGGATTTCAAATAGAATTGGTGACTCATAAATATTAAATTATCAATCGAGAAAAAACGCAATCAACAATAAAGCAATATCTAATAAAACCGTCGCAACAATGTTCTACCAAACCAGATGAACATAGGCTACAAAGTAGATGAACAAGTCCTACAGCTAATCATCCATAATAATATCAAGAGTGCAGCGGATAACGAAAAAATGCAACTTCTGATCTACTACAAAAATAAGAAAATTAAAAAGTTTCTCATGAATAGGAATCCCTTTAAAAAATCTGGACTGCTTCAAGAAACTAATGTCGTTGATAAATTCATTTGATCATGAGAAATTTTTCTAGATTATCTTAATAATTTTTGAAAAATACAGATATAACTCAATAACATAACGAGTGAACGACACTTACATGGAAAGATTTCATTTAGAGTCTTAATTTTTGGTAGTATATCTTGCTCGTTGCGTGGGAGGATTGCTTAACCGAGCTGCGGTAGTTGGTGCACTTCAACACAAGCCAGATGAGAAAATTCTATGAGCTTATACCCTCTGCCGTATCGGATCAATGTTGAAATTTTAAAAAGTGAATATGAGTGAGTGCCTACATCTCGCATCTATATTATACAACACATGAATTCACGCCACCCGTTTTATGAGAGCCGGCAACGATGAAAACATTTACAAGCTGACACCACCGTTCCAGCCAGATTGTTGGCATGCGATTATTTCAAGTTCTCCTATCATTAGTCGGCTCAAATCGTACGTTGAC